AGTATATAACATTTTCAATAACATTTTCGAACTATATGATTACTATAATTAAAAATAATATTTTCTTTATAAATTCGAATTATATAAAAAGAAAATCAATGATATATCATTTTCAATAACATTTTCGAATAATGGATTAGTATATAACATTTTTGAATAATTTATTAATAACTTAGGACGTTAATATATGATTACTATAACTCAAAATAACATTTTCTTTATAAATTCGAATTACATACAAACAAAATCTTTTAATATCTTTAAACCCGTTTGACCCGTTGACCCGTTAATATATATTAGTGACATGAAATAAAATGATTATGATTAGAATTATCTAATGGCATATATTGTAATTTCTTACAAAATCAACGTTATGATCCTTAGAATGTACTTCCCAAATATTAGTATAGGATGAATTTCAATTTAAAATCTTTACTTAAATAAAACAAATCTAAATAATTAATGCTAGTGGCATTCATCCGTAAATACTATTGAACTTCAGGATTTATTTGCTAAAACTCATCCAAAAATGTATATATAGATGATGCCCTTAAATCGTTTTATAGATATCTGATGCCTAAAGCCCATGCTTTACGGGTTTTAGCCTTGGGCCGGCCCTGGGTACAAGTTTGGTGGATTTCGTAGAAAGATTACTTGCTTTGCAAGCCAAGTTCACTTTACAGAAATTCTCTGTGACGACTGGAGTGTTGGATACACAGAGTGTTGGCACTAGGTCTGGAGGGTATAAGCTCACATATATATGTGGGACTCGTGCTCTGTTTTTGTTACAACTCTCAAGAGACTAACGTTTTACTCTGGACAAAAATCTTAGAGTTCAAACAATTTTTTGTTTGATATTCCAAATCTTGTCTACTTGGATTATATTGAAGTCATAGCGGACAAGTATCCGAAAGTGAATTTTGATTAGCTTGTTGAAGCCAAAATCGATTTTTGGATGACAAACCAACAGATAGATGTGGCAACCAATGCAAGTGCTTCAGAATTAGAGGCCATAAGGATATATAACTAAACCCGTTTAAAGCACCATGTAACAAATTAAACAACCACACAAGAGTTAATACAACTAAACTTATATGAAACTTTACTCTTCTTTTTTTTTTTTTAATGTTTCAGGGACTCCACAAATGCAGAGAAATGTGTTTGTGCAAGTCAGACGCTCTTACTTGCTTGTCAACAAGTCCTGTGAAGGTGGTGAAAATATCAATTAAATAATTAATGAGGAAAAAAAAAACTTGCACAAACGGCTTTCAAATGTATATTGAACTTCATATAAAACTATAGTAATTTGGTCTAAAAGTATAAACACTCACAATCAAGAGATACAATGTGAAAAATGTCTAGAATCAAAATACGGAAGAAAAAACACAGTTGCAATTAATAACATCCACTTTGTGCTTTAGTTAGTATCTACGAACCATATGTCATCTTATTAGAATACCATCACTGCCACGTCGTCAATGCACCATATGTTTTTGAACTCAAATGGAAGGTCTAACTGTACTGACGTGGATCCAACACACAAACAAATTATTATTCATTAACTCTATTCTTAAATTAAAGGCTCAATTATTTCATACTAAGGTACAAAAATGATACAATATTGAATCTATATTTTCCAAATAATCGAACATACATATTTATTACATTAATCACAGTTTTAGTTGAATACTAATATTTTTGATTCAACGAAGTTTTGATACATGATCTTAAATCGAATAAATATGATATTTTAATTTAAGAGCTTCAAAATTTTGTATCCTTGCAATCTATTATACATATTCTCAAAAATATTTGGTGGAAAATAAAAGAGGGAACAAAGAGGGGCATACATGTTCGTGGTTTATGACAGTATAAAAAATGAAAACGATTGGCTTATAGATATTTCACACTCATCAGATTCATGTTCAAACAAAACGTAGATAAGTATTCATTCTGATTCATAATATTGCATAAAAATTAACATTTCCAAAAAAATCCTTATACAATAATTTGTTTTTTTACCGAAACTGTAGAACCATCAAAACATGTAAAATGAAAGAATGAAAATAGCAAAATATCGGAACAAAAACAATTTTAAAAAATACTAATTATCTAATCGTACAATACTTCATTATAATGTCCTTTTGTGGACAACCAATAAGAACTTTGATATCTTGAAACTGGAGATTTTTAGTTCACAAATCACACGTGCATTTTTACCGGATTTAAATTCTACTAATAATATTTTTGAGTTGTGGAGCATAAAGTTTTGCCGTTTTGGTGATGAGGTGAGACGTGACAATAGATTTCATGCTCATTAACATGTATTTGTTTATGGGAAAAATGTCGTTAAAATCCCCAACTTATTCAAAACGTTGATTTAAATTCTCAACTCATGACGAAACGAAATAAATATCAAACTTATGTTGACTTTCTAAATAAATATTAAACTTATGTTGACTTTCCAAATAAACACCAAACTTTCATTGACTTTCCAAATAAATATCAAATTTCCGTTGACCTGACCATATAGGTACGACGTTAAATGGGTTAATAAATCCTCAACTCATGACAAAACGAAATAAATATCAAACTTATGTTGACTTTCCAAATAAATATCAAATTTATGTTGACTTTCCAAATAAATATCAAACTTCCGTTGACCTGGCCATATTAGGTACGACGTTAAGTGGGTTAATAGATCTCGTTAACGGAGGTAATTTTCTGTTAACATATATGTTAATTGATAACGACATTGTTTCATATAACAACAAAACGACGTCGTTTTGTCGTAACGATTGAATTAAATCCCTAAAGTCAATTTTAGATCCCCAAATCGAGCAAAATCCCTAACCCTAAATAGAGTATGATTTGAAACTCGGGATTTTATTGAACAGTTACGACAACACGAAACAATGTGTACGTACATGTGTTAATAAAAAAAACACAACTTTACGAACAGACACAACTATACGCGTACATTCGTGTCTCTTACGTAAATAACTAACTTATATGAATACGACTTTAGGTTATATGACTTAGATGAGATTTGATTATAGTTCAACAATACTGTCATTTTTAATTAGCGGATTTGTTAACAGAAAATTAATCCTGTTAACATTGTCTGTTAACTCACTTAACGTCATGCCTAATATGGTCAAGTCAATGAAAGTTTGGTGTTTATTTGGAAAGTCAACATAAGTTTAATATTTATTTGGAAAGTCAACATAAGTTTGATATTTATTTCGTTTCGTCGTGAGTTGAGGATTTAAATCAACGTTTTGAATAAGTTGGGGATTTTAATGACATTTTTCCCATTTGTTTATCCTAAACTTTTCTCATTTATTTACTAGTAGTGCCCCAATTCGTTTGTTAGACGGTGAAAAATGAAATGAAAAAAGAAATAAATAGTAAGATTGTGAACTTCGTGAAATTTATGTAACTCTTCACATTTAAAAATGTATCACCATAAGTAGTTTTTATTCATGTTTTAATCTTATTTTAAAAATCAGTTTTGCAATTCAAATCCTAACATATATGAGATATATGACGGTAACATGATAAATTGATGAGACTAAAGAACACAAAAGTGTTTAGGAAGAATTATAATAGACTCTCATAAGATTAAAGGTATAAATTACATTCTCTTATATAGAGATGAGATTTCCTAATTCAAGATAAATATAAATGTAAATAATATATTTAGAGATAATGTTAAACTTCCTAAACTTAAGATATGATAACTTCTAGATCCTTCTCGATCTTCATGATTTTCATAATCTTTGGGCGATCATCTCGACCGTCGATCTCGGTCGATCTCCGGTTCTCCCAATACCCTCCGGCAAGCTCATACGTGGTAGCACGTGTGAGATTGGACAAGTCTTCAGAATAGCGGCTTTATACCCGGCCGTCGGGTCATCATCAACGTTTATACCCGATCGTAGGGTTCAAAGCGGCTACAAAACCCAGCCGTTAGGTCATCAACGTTTATACCCGGTCGTGGGGTCATCAACGGCGTTTATACCCTACCGTAGGGTCAAATTAGAGGAAAATACATCTTTAGTAGTGTATTTCCATCGATTTTAGATCACAAGTCTTGGTCGCTCTTCGAACATCTTGTTCATGAAGAAACTTGTGTCGGATTCGAATTCGTCACCGCCGGATCAGCATCGTATCCATTGGAGTCATCTTAGTGGCTTCCATCTTTTCAAATCACATCAAACCACATCGTTTGTTTATGTAATCTTTTGTAGTGAATTGACACAAACAAACATGTTCTTCTTCTTCTTCTTTTTTGTTTTTTTTTTTTTCTTGTAAAACAAAAATCTTTTTGGAGTTAGGTTAATGTTTGAAAAGAAGAAATCAACAATAGCATCTTCAAGATTTCTTCTTCTCCAAAGAACTAGCAAATTTGCTAGTAAAAAACAAACGTACTTGACCAATCAAGCCAACATCATGTCTTCTTCTACTTTTTTTTTTTTTCTTTTGCGGAAGATAACGAAACCCTAACCCATAGGAGTATGATCAAGGCTCTGATACCATGATAAATTGATGAGAGTAAAGAACACAAAAGTGTTTAGGAAGAATTATAATAGACTCTCATAAGATTAAAGGTATAAATTATATTCTCTTATATAGAAATGAGATTTTCTAATTCAAAATAAATATAAATGTAAATAATATATTTAGAGATAATGTTAAACTTCCTAAACTTAAGATATGATAACTTCTAGATCATTCTCGATCTTCATGATTTCCATAATCTTTGGGCGATCATCTCGACCGTCGATCTCGGTCGATCTCCGGTTCTCCCAATATAACACGAATACAAACCATCCAATTATAATCATCTATCTCAAAACATTGAAAATGATATGTGACATTTAACACTAGTGGATGGTGAGAGACAGTGTCGGGTGGGTTGGGGTGCACTTCCACGCGCGATTTGTCCCTACACAACTCTCTTCTTCTTCTTCTATAAAAGACATTTCTTTGTTCATCTCAATTAATCACTTTCTCTTATATCTTCTTCGCAACTAAAACTCAAAACAATCAAAGATAAACCCTAAAAGAAAATCTCTATATCAAAGATGGGAGTTTTGAAGAGAAGAGTGTCGAGTAGCAGAGGTCTTGGTGGTGTTCTTAGAGAGCAAAGAGCTAAGCTTTACATCATCAAACGATGTGTTGTGATGCTCCTATGTTGGCAAGATTGATCTTGGTTGATTCAAGTGGTGATACTTTGAAGCTTAACCGGATCAAACCGTTGGTTGCAAGAAGATACGAAGGAGGGAACCGGTTTGGGTTTTGCTTGCTAGAAGATATGAAGGAAAAAACCGGTTTGGGTTTTGCAAGAAGATAGTCAATTTTAGGGGGATGAAAGTTGAACACTTTCGATATGGATATATGTTTTTAGTTTTCGGAGGGTATATTTGTAAATATACGAATAAAAGTTTGGGATAAATTTTGTAATGGCTTTTGCCTTAGTTCCATAGTTCCCCTGTGTATATATCTCACACATAATCTTAACCAAAATCAGTTCTTGTGATTAGCATTTGCTTTATTTGAAAATTTTGTTTTCGAATATATGAAATCGTATTAACCCAAACAAAATGTTATTTATTGAAAAATATAAGAAAATGGTAACATATCTAACTGCTGTAAAATCGACTAAAAACTTCCAGAAGTTTTCTACATCTTAAGAAGTCGATATACACACTAACTAGTCCAACAACTAGAGCACGATTTTAAATTTTCAACCAACTATATATATTTTTACTTAACAAGAAACCAACTAAATTTTCTTTCTTGTGGAAGAAGGTAATCTAGCTATCTTATAAATTACATGAATGCATAGAATATTCATCGCCATTAATAATAAGTTTCCAAACTTAGTTGTTGTTCCTTTTAGTTTGGTAAGTTTGGTTTCTGGTCTGGTTTCTTGCTCGTAAGAACTGTGTATTTGTTGTCTTTGTTTAGTGGAATTCTTTTTTTTTACGGTTCATTAAGTGATAAAACCCAATTACAAATACAAAATTCATTATGTGAGAGGTACAAGTTTGCATGACACTGCTTTTCATGCATACATGAACAAAACTCCCATTTTTTTAGTCAAACCAACTAACCTCTTCCTAGTTCAAATGATTAGCTAATTGATTTGAAGATAACATAAAAATTGAAATTAAATATACTTTGGTTACTTGTCTAATCATATAGTATGTAATGTTGGTGCTCCACGTATGGGATAACTCTACTTTAATTTAGTTCTTTGGACTAATCAAGTTTCAATGACTATAGATATAAATCAAGAGACACAATATCGAAATTATTGTTCGGTCCCTCTGATGTGACCATTAGGTGTCAAATTAATCTATGATGGAAAGACGTGTATGATATCACGTCAAATTTATTCTATTAAAAATAAATAAAAGTGAATTTTACTTCCTTTTTCTTCTTTTTAATTGCGTCAATATCATCTGAGGACTAAAACTGATTACAAACCATGTACTTAGCTAATGGGCCCATATTAAGGCCTATCAATGTTCAATTTTTTTTTGCCAATCTATCTCAAATCAATTTGACAATTTGTAATACTTCAAATTTAAAATTAACAAAAATATTAATTAAGGTATCAAAGGTTTTTGAATGAGAGATGCAGTTGAAAATGGTAAATTATCAAGGACCGTCTCAACCGATCCAAGCGTCCAACCACAAAATATCCTCATTATAGCACTAAATTAATTGCTGAAATTTATTAATAATTGAACACTTTTTATCAGAAATAAATAATAATAATTGAACACTAAATTTATTAGTATTTCACGAAAATTATCGATAAAGAAAGTAGGAAAATGGGGTCGAAGTGTCAGGTGGGAAGAAACTGAATCTGCATCATTGTCTCATTGAAATTCTGTTGTCGGCCAACTTTAACTATGTAGCCCATATGTTTTATTATGATTTATTTAAATTTTTGTAAAAATGTTTTGTAAATTTATTTTTTTAAAAAAATAAAAAATTATGTTATTGAATCATTTATAATATTATATAATTAAAAAATATATACAATATTCAATATAAAAATATTTTGTATATATATTCAATGCATTGATTTTTATAATTAGTTAGTTTCAATAATTTCAAAACTAAACTAAAAATAAAATAAAAACCAATTAGGTAAAATAATTGTAAATATGAAATTTTCTATACTCTCTAGTCTAAAGTTTTTTGTATAATATGTTGTTAATTTTTGTATCTAAAATTATTACGAAAAATTCTTTTAATAATACAAAAAAAATTAACAACATTATAAAAAAAACTTTAGACTAGAGAGTATTTAAAATTTTCTATTTATAATTATTTTACTTAATTGGTTATTGTTTTATTTTTAGTTTAATTTTGAAATTATTGAAACTAACTAATTATAAAAATCAATGCATTAAATATATATACAAAATATTTTTATATTGAATATTGTATATATTTTTTTAATTATACAATATTATAAATGATTCAATAACATAATTTTCTAAATATTAAAAAACTAATTTTTTTTTTTTTAATATTTATGTTCGTCAATGCCGGTCAAACTGGTCAATGCCGGATTCCGGCGAAAAGTGTACCGGAAAAAAATGTTCGTGATGTTGGCGACATGACTACATATAGTTCGTATATGTGGGCATGCGATACATATAGTTTGTGTAGTTAGGGATATATTTTTAAACTTCGGATGTGTCGCCATGAATTGTAGCATACTTCGTGTAGCTAGGTATCTTTTTTCTTATAATTTATTTTGTCATGTTTTTTGTATAATCTTTTGTTAGATGAATGATAAAGTTTCATAGCTTAAAGCCTTAATCCACACATATTTTTAGATATTTTATAAAACTGATAAAATATTTCATCTAAATAAAGAGATTGTTTGGTAGAAAATATGAATATATGAATGTTATCCCGATACATCATAACTATAATTGTACATCCATCTATTAATCGTTAGAGAGTTATAAAGTCTATGTGCAGTGAGAAAAAATCTATGTGCAGTGAGAAAATCTTGACGCACAAAGTTATTGAGGAGGAAGAGACAGAAGAAGTTGAACAGTCAAAAAGACAAGAGGATAGGCTCGATCACGTGCGGCGGGCCAATCCGGCGGTCCTACCACCGTCGCCGTCGTAACCAGAACCATCGTCCTCTTCTCTTGTCACTTTCTCACATCTGGGTCCAAATTTTATTTATTGATGTTCATATCATGGAGTTTCCGATATAATGGTTTATTTTTTATTACCCAATTGAACTAAACATTCCCACGTATCATTTGTGAACTATTTCTTGTTTCCATTTTTAGTTTTATTTCAAGAACTCAATATTAATCCTACTTCAATATTTTCACTAATCATAAGAGTTGATGATTCACAATGATTCCATAATTTTTAGTAGTCATTAATTTTTTGGAATCGCGATTTTATAGTATTCAACTATTCATTAAGTTATTTTGCAAGGCTAATGAAAAATCTTATAAAAGAAAATTAAGTTAATTAGTTTAGTTCCATTAATGATTGCGCTAATTCATACCAGTGTATATTTGTTTGGCATGATGTGTTTTTGAACCAAGTTCATTGTTCCGAATTATGAACATAATTCTTATGGTGTCTGTCTTCAACTAATCACAAATTCCAACGAGCTAGAGTTTTTTTTGGTCTGCATGTAAAAATACATGCTTTTGTCTTCGGTCTCATGCAATGTTTTAGATACTATTATTATATACTATATGTTTAAAAAAGATTCAACATTATTGGTCCACATACTTATATATTCACTTCCTTCTACTTCAACACTTGGTGGACTTCTCTCCAGGTGCATTCATATTTGTGTTCTTCTAATATGTACCCTTGTTCAAAAACGTGGGCGCCTAGCCGCCTAGTCGGCCGTCTAGGCGTTCCGCGGGACACAACCGCCACGATTATGTCTTTAATCGGACTAATTAATCGTTGACCGATTTTTGGACCGCCTAACTACTTTCGGCGTTGAAAATCGGATTAATAACCGATTAAATAAAGTTCTAACTTGTAAAGCTTTTATTTGTTGGGCTGTAATTGGGCCTCAGCTTTACCGATGGTTTAATCATACAAGATTGGTGGAGAGTGCAGTATTTATAAGCAAAGTCTTCAGTTCTCTTTCTCTTGCCTAACCGATGTGGGACTTTTGATGTTAACGAATGTTTTAGTTCGTTCTCTTTAGAATTCCCATTTCTCTTTTATTTCCTCTTTTTTGGTCTTTGTAATTAATTCTATTATTTATTACTAAAAAATATCAACGTTGGATCATTTCCTAATCCATAAAATCTGGATAATAAACATTAATTTAAATACTACATTTATATACTAATTGACTATTTTGTATTAGACACACAAAAAAAGAGTTTCCTCAAGATCAATTTTGCCAAAATTAATTTTTTGTTGACAATTATTTGAATATTTATATACATATATAGCATAATATATTTATTTTTTAACATTACATTAAACACATTAATGCATAAAACATATATTTATTTAATTTTAACATTAAATAAAATAAAATAATACATAAAACTAATCTCCGATTAATATCCGATTTTCCGCCTAGGCGCTAGGCCCAACTCAAGCGCCCGACTAACGCCTAGCGATTTTTTGAACAAGGATATGTACATAGCACATGATTTAATTTTCTCATCTTATTATATAATACAATATATATATATATATATATGTGTGTAATAAATAGACATCATATGGAAATTTTCTTGTTTTGTGTGAACTGTTTTAACAAAATCATCGTCGATCTGTTTGATTATCTTCTATTTCTAACCCTCACAAGTTCATATACTATACTCTATGTACTTAATGTATTAAATGAAGACACTTAACAGATTGGCCTATTAGCTCAGTTGGTTAGAGCGTCGTGCTAATAACGCGAAGGTCACAGGTTCGATCCCTGTATAGGCCATTTTTTAAAGATTTTCCTTATTGAGCCTCAACATTAGCCCATGCTTCGAAAAGATATCATCACCCACCGGCCTACACTTTTTTTCTTAGAAAACAGAAAGCACATATCGAAATAATACTGAAATGTTTGGGCTTACAAAATACTCATTTGGCCCTTTAACTCGTAATTCTTAATTGTAAGTCCTTACTTTGTTTTTGTCATTATTTTCTTTAGTCTTTATTTTTTTTCATTTTCCTGTTAAATTAATAGTTATTGTAGATATTTTACGATATATTTGGAAAAAAAAAACTTTGTAATTAAACTCATAATTTGGATTAATCTAGTAACGTGGAAAAAAAATATTTGAGAAAAAAAATTACTAGAAAAAATATTTGGGAAAGTTACTAGATTAACCCAAATATAGTAATTAAACTCATAATTTGGGTTAATCTAGTAACATTTCCTATATTTATAGATCTAATCGAAATTTTCCTTAGTAGATAAACTTTGTCTTTTGCTGTCCAAGTAAGACCCAAGAAACACCATTTTTGGAAAATCTTTGACAAAAACACCATTAGTAGACCAATAACCATTTTGCTAATAATCCTTTGTCAAAATTGTAAAATCCCGGTCTATAAGAACAACAGCTAAAATCTGGAAAACTAATATGCCTTCTTTTGTTCGACGTTGAATTTTGGACTAAAGGAAAAACCAATAGATACAAAAGTGACGAGATCATGACGTAATGTGCTTGTGGTATCAAGTATCAACTGTCTCTGTAATAATGTAATAAATAACGTAAGTCAGTAACGGCGAAAGAGACAATATTATCAGAGATCCCAAAACTAAGTTTCTATAAATAGAACAAAGATCTAAGTTTTCACTTCTCACGAAAAAGATTCGATCTACTCCTCTCGATTTCACTTGATATAACTTACAAATCTTCCATCACATAACTCTCTACATCAATCTAATTTAGGACATATCGCATTTATTATATATCGGATATGAAGAAAAAATGAGGTTTTTATGAGTGTATATATATTTGAAACGGTATAGACTATATATATTCCCATGCACATTTAAAAACTGATTTCGACATAATTGTTGTAGATTGTCAGAATATTAACAATGGATATGTGTAAGAGATTTGTTTCTGTCATTAAAGATAGAGATAAATATATAAACGATTACTCTTTTTTTTGGTGAAGTATAAACGATTACTCTTATAGTATCAGTCATATATAGTAGAAAAAACCTTCTTGATTAATTAATACAAACCCAAGCTCTTTACATTTCCTATATTAATTAAGACGATAAAATGTCTTAACTATATAAACCAAACCCATCACTATAAAACCCTAAACAAAGGGTTCTTCATAGATTAAAAAAAACATAGAAGAAGAAACCCAATCCCAATTATAAAAAAAAATAAAAACCATAAGGATACTAAATATTAATATCACCATTCACCAACCCATAATCAATCCCATTTTGCAAGTCTAATTAACTAACCCTAATTAATAAAGACTTGACTTAATTAACTAATTATAACATCGATTCATCATCTTACTAGTCCTTTGCCTCTTAATACTCCCCGAAGATGATTTCTCCAAGTTATTGTTATCATTGCTCTCATCATTATTATGAACACACTTCTCTATAACCGCCTTTAACGCTTCTTCTATCGAACTCACACGATTATTCATCATCCTCTCTTCATCATAAGCCTCCACGTCATCACCATCGAAGTTTCTATGATATGAATCATGATCCTCTTCATCATCGTATTCTCGGCTCAAGAACAAGATGTTCTTGACTCGACCCACCAACGGTTGCGATCTCAGCTTTGAGAGTTCGAAGACGAAGAGACTTTAAGGCATTGATGACGTCATGCATGAGGTCAGTCCTGTCTTGGCAGCAAAAGGATGCCCTTATCACCAAGTTTCCTTCTTCGTCGTTGTAAGACGATTCGACGGTCAGGTCATCGCACTCTGTTGGGACTTGACACGTGTCGGTGATCTGTGATGTTTGTCGTTTTAGCTCCTTCATGTGTTGGATCACTTCCGCTAGCAAAGAAGCTTTGTCCGTCTATATATATAAAACAAAAACGAATCATAAATATTTAATCCTTTTATTCTCCATAATAATAACTAGCTAGCACAAAAATGCCACATCTGTGAACTATAATTACATACCAAAAATATCGATTTGATGCATTTAATTTTTAAAAAATTTGGAAATTTACAACTACTAAACGATCATAGTTGAGCAAAAAGATAAATAAAAATAATAAAATTGCAATATATATATGATCTATAACCACACACCAGACATATTTTTGAGGAACTTATCATTTTTGAAAATTGAACAATTACTACTACTAGATCCTCTTTATCAAAACTTCACCAAAAAAAGATCCTCTTTATCAAAAAAAAAAAAAAAACAATTACTACTACTCTAACCAAGAATAGCTGAATAAAGAGAAATTTTGAAGAATCATTAATTAATTAAAAATTTTCCATAGGGTTTTCAAAATCGTAAATTAGTTTTTGATGTTTCAAACGACTTACTTTGGTTGTGTTTGGTAATATACTTCGCAACTTAGCAAGATGAGTGTTGATTCTCTCCCGTCTTCTTCTCTCAGCTTCACTATGACTCTTTGAAGCAGCTAAAGCCTTAGCATCCATGACTTCTTGTGCACTCAATTTTCCCATGATCTCACCATCGAACCCAAAGGACGAGCCACGACGCATGATGGGTCCGAGAGCTTCGGATAAAATCCTTAGATGGTTCTGATGATTATCCATGGAAGGAGGAGGAGAGACAAAGCCGTCGTTATAGTCAAAGGAAGAAGAGGAAGAAGCTCTTCTGTTGAAGTAGTGGACCGGGTCAGAATAACGGGTCGGGTTAGATGGGAAATGGGTCGGGTCAAAAGAAGGTAAAGATGTAGACGTCCAAGGGAGGATTTGTGGATGGTGATGAAGAAGAAACTGGTCTTGATAGTCTTGTAAGTTGTGAAACGTTTGAAGACAGTCTTCTTCTTTCATTGCATACATTTTTGGTTTTTTTTTTTTTTTTTTTTTGGAAGGAGAAAGAGAAATAGAGAAGAAGAGACAAAAGGTCACAAACATCCCATTTGATAATGCATACACATGTATATATAGTGCTATATCATGTGTCCTCGGTAAAATTTAAACCAAAAAAAAAAACATTTTAATATTAAAGATTTCTTTCCAAATAAATAAATTCTTAAAAAAAAAACTTTTTCACCGGTTTGTAGTTTGTACAACCAGACCGCCATTATCTTTGATAAATACACATTAAGGAGAATCTGTTTGTGAGAAATACAAGTTATATAGTATGATTTAGTTCCATATAATAGTAGAATAGTATATAGTGATTACGCAAAATTATATGTAACCTTAATTTATTTTCAACTGTAATGTACTGTTATGGTTTTTTTTTGTTGTTAGTTTTTTAATTTGTAATTAAACTAGTGGGTTTTTATTTTATTTTTAAGAATTGTAATATTAATTTTGAGATTTCTTTCATTTTCTTTATTTACATGTTATCTATTATAGGCTTTTTTTTTTCTTTTCTTTGGGACCACTATTTTTATCAAAACAAATGAAACTGCAAGTGCTGCACATCTTCTTTGCTTTTCTTTTACGACTTCTAAATGGGGAGCTGTCATCATCTTGTGGATTTCTCTGATGGATTTGGCTTCCTATGAACAGCTATTATTTATTTATGTTCTTAGAATTGATTTCATGTTAATGAACATATATGTGCACCTTTTCTACTTGTTAATAGAAGAATTTTTGTTCGCTTTTCCACTTAATTTAATCATGCTTAGAGTAAAAAGTTGTTGCGATTTGAAAACGAGGAATACCACGTCACCACCTTTCTGCTAAGTCCTAACTATATCAAAATATTACGATATGGTTATATAGTAGTAACAGTTGAGAAGATATACAATTTTTTCTTATATATATATTATGATCTGTGAAAATGCGATCAAGAATATTATGCAATAGTAGAAAAAAATTTCATGCTGCATTGACTATGGACTGATAGAATAAGAATAGGGTTATGATGATTTTAGCAAGATGATTCTGGTCAGCACCTTCGGAGACAAAAATAATACTAATTGACAAAATTCATTTGAAACTTTTCTACAAGTTAGAATGGTCAAATAGACACAATCATGTTTACATATTATTTTTTTGGCATTTGAGCATGATCAGGACCCAAAAAATATAGAGAAATCTATTCACAAAAAAAACTCTCAGATGCTAACTGTGAAAATAGAAGTGATGCCTAAAAAAGTAAAAATTGTAAATAAGGTGTTTTTCTTCAACATAAAAAGGGTTTAAAATTTTTAATTAAATTTTTACCCTAATCTAACATGGTAAGCAAGACAAGAGCTTTTCCTCTGCCTAGTTTCTATAAATATAACAAGAAATCTTCGAGTTTATGCCACGACGACTCTACAAAGAAGAGAAGACTAAAGTAAATTTATATAATCAAATACAATTTGACATGCATTTAAAGGGGAAGAAGAAAGAGGTCATGATTATTGTTTTTCATCAGGTTCTGAAACAACGCGTTAAAAGAATTTCATTTGGCTGCTTAATGTTTTGTTTTTTTCAGTGGAAAGCATAATAATATAAAAAACTCGAAAAATTAACCAAAAGAATAAAAAACAAACACTGACCACAGGACACACGGATTGTCGACCGACCAGAGACCAAAAAGACTTTTACTTTTAATCATTAATAATCCCACTCGTTTCTTATAGCCAAACCCACTTTCTTGTTTTTCTTTCCTTCTTTAATCTAGTTTTTAATCTAATCAAGATTTTCTATGTTATAGATTTGTCTCAAGTGCACTGAAGAGATTCTCGCTTTTATTTAATCTTCTCATACATATCCAACGAATATCTTTGATTATGATCTGAATATATCTTTGGTTGTATTAGCTAATATAATCATACTAAAGATGATTCAAATCCTAAAATAATTAGTAATAATTCTCTAACCTAACTCAAGTTTACCATCCGCCAGTTTTTCAAGTAGATGGGCATATACTCATTTTTAGAGAAAATAAGAGGTAACAAGACTTATATATATAATGAAAAAAGAGTGGAAAAAACTATGCAATAGGATACTAAAATGCAACCGGATTCGAGTACTATTTTTGTGAAAGATGAACTATATTTTTTTCCTAAAAGATGAACTATTTTTGTGAATCAGTCACATGTTTTATCACAAACTGATCTCAGACATAAACAGATAATAATTTATAGATCAGAAAATTCTTCATTAAATATATATTCCTATATGAATAGTGATAATAATAGAAGAAAATGAGAAAATTTTGAGTATAAATTATAGGATAGGGTATGAACTAGGGCTTTGGGGTGGTGGTGCAGAGTGAAGCCCACACGACGTTCAACATTCTGGGCTCTTTCTCCACGCTGTCTTCTTCTTTTTCCTTCTCCAAGAATTCTAAATCATTTTGTCTTTGAATTTACTTCTCTTCTTGTTTGTTTCCAATAATACTTCTATATTATCAGTACTTGATTGATTTATATACATGATTCTTTTCTGTTTTTTCTTGTTGAAACTTGAAACAAGCCTCACTATAATTCTTCTCTCGAAAACTTTTTAGATAGGTCCTAATGAAAAGACATTTGAACAATCGATCTTACATTTCATATACTATATGTATTTTGCTGAAATTTGTACAGTTAATTTACTTTAATCTACTTATGAATTTTATTGTAGTATCTTTAATCATAATTGGTCATAAGTTAAACTTGTAAACCTATTAATATATGTATGAATATACATATATAATTATATATATATATATTTGAAGTTTTACTATTTTTTATTTGTTTTGTTTAAAGCATACTATTTGTTTTTTATGTTTTAGATATCCAAATTTTTTGTATAGAAGCAGATCATATATAGATGTTATAAAATACTCCTTCCGTTTCATAATATAAGTCGTTTTGGAGAAAAAATTTTGTTTCATAATATAAGTCGTTTTCAAGTTTCTATGCACTTTATATATTACTTTAATATTTTATAATTATTTATATTATGCAGTCTCTTTTATGATTTGCTGAACTTTTTAAAAGTAGATATTCTTAATCTGCGTGTTTAAAGCTAAAACGACTTATATTATGAAACGGAGGGAGTATTATTTTCTGACCCTTAAAAAGAAATCACTCAACTAATTAAGGACTTGATCACCATGATTTTTTTCATGAGATGCTTTAATTTGGTTGATTTCTTAAAAGAGATTATTAATTATAACACAAGACGGATATTGTTCCGTTTGAATACACCAATAAAACATGTTTAGCCAGTTAAATAAAACACAAATGGTTCAAAATTAACAATTTAACTACTATAAAGCGTACTAGATTTAACTAACTTACCTAGAAGACTTAACTTAACTAAATTGATATTTACGAAAAGAATGAACATTGCATCAAAATCAAGTATACGAAAGGTATACTATATATCACGAAGCCATATTTTATACACTGAAAAAAGTGATAAACATCATATCGAAAGCAGCAATAATAATACTACTAGTTTCTAACTTTCTAATGACTATGGACATAACCTGATAATGTTTCACGGTGCCCAATACTATATACAAAAATACATTTTTTTTTGTATATATTATATTGTCACGAGACCATGCCCTTCAGCGAGTACGTGCTTAACTGTTGGACCATAAAATGTAATAATTTTATGGTGAAGAATTATATGATAGGAAACCATTGTTGGAAGAAACCTATAATCATTACCTTTAAAATAAAGTCAGTGTTCATGTTCAAAAGGCCTTTGAAAAAGCTAAAATCATTTTCATCTTGACAAGCATGGCTCATTTTAAACCAAATCAGTTCGTTACTTTGGCTTTAACTAGTGTGATAAAAATAAATGATCTGATAAAAAAATTCAGCAAAACTAAATAATATAGTAAAATCAGTGAAAAAAAAAGGAAAATTAGATTGAGTACCACATTTGGCCCAAAATTTAGGTTCATTATCATTTTCGAAGCCCAGTTAGCATCTATACCACAATTGAGGTGTGTAATGACCATTTTGCCTTTCTTTTTGTTTGCTCAAATTTCGGGGACAAAATTCATAGATCGAGGACACAAAAAGGTGTTTACATACAGTTGTCCCTGAAGTTTGAGTTTCTCCATAATTTCATCTTATTTTTGCATGTTTGCTTGTTTTTTTCCCTCAATTTTAATTCACTGTTCTTGGATTTTAGTATGTAAACTCTAATTGTGGTCTTTTTATTTTGTTTGATATTTATATTTCGTTTGATTATTGTTCCCGAATAGATTTTTTGTCCCCCAAATACTTGTCCCTAAATGTTACACTTTATCTGCCACATCAGCCGAGGGCAAAACCGTATTTTTCATACCACAATACCACATGAATGTGGTACAAGTGCTAAATCATTCTCAATTGTGGTAGAGATGCTAATGAATTTGAAAAATGTGGTAGATTTGGCAAAAATCCCAAAAAAAAAATCATGAAGTGAAATGACCTCTTATAGAACTAGAAACCATTGTAAATTATCTTTTTGAAATCAATAACTCAAATATGCATGCTTTACCTTTATTCAGTAACTTTTTGAAATTGGATAAATTACTTATATAGCAAAGTTGGTAAAAAATATCATGAAGTAAATGAAATGTATTATAAAACTTGTGATCTTTCTTTCATATTACTTGCAAATTGCAATAACGAATGCAAATTAAAATTGGGTTTGTATTGATATTTTGAATCCAACAAGATCGGCTGAAATTTATTTTATAGGTTATAAAGTATAAACTCACTAGAATTCATAAGTATACTCTTATTATCAACCCGTTTGCGTGGAAATTAAAACATAAACATAAATTATACATAGATATAGTTAGTTAGGAAATTCGGGACCATTAGACATTAATTAATCTGTCTAAAATATGCCATGCACCATACTAATGGTAGTGACCAATGGACCTCGTTTTTTTTGAGAGCTCAGGAGTGTGGCGATATGAATTCGAATATTTATTGACAATATAAACCAGTTGAGTTCCTATCAGTGGTT